AAGAATGAATGGGTTAATTGGAGTCTCAACCTTTCTGTGCACTAGAAAGTGAGACTTTTCCAGAAGAACCTGGATGAACCACCAATGCAGGGAACTAACCAGATACATCCTAAAGGAGAGGTCACACCCTGCAGCATAACACAGCAAGGTCTACTTTTCAGGCAGCAACATTTCTAGTTTCTCAGGCTTTCAAAACATCTGTCGCGTAAAAATAGCAAACACTTCTTACAGTATATTACTGTAGTTTGTAAAGTTGGTACCAATTGATTAAAATGTGTATTGGCTATTCTTTATAAATAAATAGCTATAAAAGGAAGAGTTTAGTGTCAAAATGGCGTTGTTTATAAAACATGAAACACAAACATCCTTCACTGGGCTTCCAACTCTATGCTGCAAGCATTTTTTGTACAGCTATAGCTGGTTTTCTTATATATAAAAGGAAAATAGAAAACAGTAGGCAGAGCCCAGTTGTTAAAGAGAACCTGGACTTCCTCAAATTCAGTCAAAGCTGTTGCAGCAAGTGACCAGGTAACTTATGTTCCAGAGAAATTACAAATTAACGTATGCATTAATTTGCACTGTTCCTACTATTTCAGTATTTAGCTTTAAGGGCTTGAAACACACGTGGGCACGCAAGTATAACTGAACAATACTCTATTGGTAAAATAATTTATTTCCTTAAGAACTCTGAACCAACAGAGCATCTCCATCCATTTTGTTCTGAAGGATGACTTGCACCACCTGCAGGTCTTACAACAGTTGAACAAGATTTTGAAGCTCCATTTCTGCAATATGACCAGACATCCAATTCTGAATACACTGCACTGCGGGAATAAACATTAAGAAAAGGTCATGCATTCTTCCAGCTGGCAGTGCTATAAAAAAACTTGTACCACTCCCAAAATACAAAACTGATATGAAAGCTATTGTGTATTATATAACTGCACTCACACCAAACAAGCAGAACACAGACAGCATCTATATGCTGCAGACATTGTCAATGACTGACAGACAACACTGACTGGTGCAGATTATGAACCTAGCAAAACTCAGGATGGCTCAACTTCCGAGGCTGCACACCCCGCAGACTGCACACCTCAGGGACCACAAGCCCTCCAAGCTATACCCACAAGCCCTCCAAGCTGTACACTATGCACATGTGTGGACGGGCACCCCGCACCTGGCTGCACCATGCACACAAATGAGTGGACAAGTGGCATCGCACACATGAGCAGAAACCCCCACCACTGCCCCCACATGGGAGTAGTACCCTGCCTCACCTGCAGGTCCCTCTGGGCTATGGCATTGTACTGTACCAACACTGGAAGCTGCTGACTTAACTGGCACCACCAGCTACACTGTGCCAAGCTCCCTGAGGGTGGGTCAGGCAACAGAAACCAGTGAAGGGAGGGGTGTCCCAAGACCCTGGCTGTTGTTGCTGTTACAGCTGGAACAAAGGGCAGCAGCTAGTGGTCCAAGTGGACCGTGTTAACCCCTTGCAGGCCACATGCAGCCCATGGGTCACCAGTTGGACAGCCCTGGCTTAAGCTGGTATGTTATCAATAACCACTAAGCTTAGTCAGTAATTAATAAGCTTGCATTTAAGTCATACGGGATAGGAAAGGAAAGTAGAATAAGAATCTGTTTGCCAAGGCCACTAATATTAGGCTAGGCCAAACGCAAATAATTTCCTTTTTTTTCCCCTCCCCCCTGAAAGCACTTTAATAGTCACTAAAAGTAACAACTGATACTTTGCCTGTTGATAACAATTTAATTGTATGCAGTCAGCTAGACTCCTGTTGAAATGAAAAGGTGTCTTTGTTAACTGAATATAGCCCCAAACCATTGCAAAGTATACCATTGCAGATGTCACAACCACCTCAGCCAGCGAAGTAAAAGAAACAGGACATGGCAAGTAGAGAATATTTGTTAAAATAAGCCACATATAAATACTGGATGTAAACAGGCAGGATTTGGGGAAGACCATTGCAAATTCAAAACAGCCTGATGCCAGTCTGCATGCCTCTTCCCTCCTGTATCCCTCTTGTATCTCCCCAGCAGGATACGTGAGAATCTATATTCTGCTTTTCAGAAAGCTGCTATATTCTGTTTTTCAGAGACACCGAAGTGCTCATTCTTGTGCTTTAGGGTATAATCAATAAATGGATTGTTTATCTGACTTGAGTAATAGTAATACCTTACCGGCTAATAGGGAATAGAGGATCATTGGGAAGTACAATTGCATCTTGAGTTGGCGCACAAAAATGGTAATCCTTAAGGGAATTCTAATTTTCCCTTAATTCTGGGTCTAAACTCACAAAAAAGGTCCTCATCATAGACAAACTGTAACCTTGTGTTTCTAAAGACTGAATGGTCCCAGATTTTTGGTAACACAGAACTTGGCACTGCTTTGAAATGACAACAGTAATTCTGCGTATGGCATTCTTCAAGTTAATAATGAGCTAGTGTCTCATCAAGGTGATGAGGAACACACTGTCTTTTTGAACATATCATTTGGAAGAAGTAAAAAGGGCCGCGGTTCCACAGAACCTCAACAAAAAAATCAAAACATTCTCTCCACTAGCGGTCTATCCAAAGTCCACTGCATTAAGATTCAACCTACCCCCTCCCTCAATTCTACTTGTAGTATCAACTGAATGCAACAAGGTGTCATCCCAGAGCTGACTTAACTGTCAGTGAAGAAACTCCTAGCGTTTGAATTCAATTCTTAGGATTCCTGGATAACTTGTGTGTGCAAGTTATCTACTAATAAAATTCTACTCAGCATTTTATTAGTAGATTAACATCTACTAATAAAATTCAATCAACTCTGTTAATTTATACCACGGGTATCAAATTCACCCTGTGTACCAGACTGGATTCGGGTAACAGGAATGTCCAGATCCATGAAGCAAGCAACAGGGCCAGCATTGGTAGGAGCAGTCAGGGACCACAGTCCTTGCATGACCCCTGCTACTAAGGGCCCTGTTCAATGAAGATAAAGGACCCCTTCTGTAGAAGGCCCTGCCACCCCACTAGCTACATACCCAAATTCCCTGGCTCATCAGTAGCCCAACAAGCTGAATGGAACAGCATTGTGAGCCCTACATTCAATATCCCCAATTTATACCAAAAAGCAGTCATGTACATCTTTGGTAGTTTACCAACCCATCTCACATCCTTCAAGAGTCTTGTGTCTTGAAATTATTCTTTGCATCTTAAAAAGCAGTCAAGTATAAAAACAGCCCCAAGACAAGCCAGGTTAAAATGGTATTAAACACTGAAAGAGCATATAATTACACACATTGCAAGGATGATGCTGAATAAACTTTACCTCAAAACAAGACATTAAAATATGAGCAAAACCATCAGAGGTAAGGTAAACGTTTGAGAAATTCAAAAAGTGAAGGTATGGAAATACCTATTTAAGATACCCTGACAACCTCAACTACTCTGTAGCAATGCCATACAATCATGCAAAGTTTATGTTAACGGCAATTTTTTGTTACCAGTCCCAAATTTAATTTAATTTAATTGTAATGTTCTCCCATCCAAAAATGTCATTACAGAATGGAGGTCAACATCAATACCTTCTGTCACACTCCAACTTAATGTAGTTTTTATCTAAGAATTTCCTGATTTTTTTTTAAGTTATAATAATTTTCAAATATGAGTACTACCAGAAACGCACAAAGAATGCTACCAGGAAATTCAGCAAAGCAGGGTTCAGAGACTGAGCTACAAGGACAGGGCAGAGAAGCCTAATCCTAGAGTCCCAAATTGTCTGAGCTTTGAAGGTTTTACTATGCTTTGACTCCGTTCCACCAGTAATGTTGTCTCCCTTTGCCATGGACCATGGTGACGGAGTTATTCATTCAAGTAAGATAAGAGGTAGGTCAAACAAATGCTACCTATCTTACAATGAAGCCACATAAATGAACTGGATATTTACCAACATCTGTAGGCTATGTAAATTGCAGTAACTGGATATACCCATCATTTACAACTTAATTTCTACCTACTTTCTTCAAATGAATTTGAATATTCACCACATTTGAAGGGTCTACATTTACCAGTAAGAGCACGTAGGTAAATTTAAAAAAATTAAACTGAGGATGCATCAACAAGCTCCAATAACAACTTTCATGTATTCAAAGCATTCAGCTACTACAGCAATAGAGAAATACAAAGGATTGCATTTGAGCTGCATAATGAGCCTGTAACTAAGATGATGCTGAGTCCCAGTTGCACAAATCCCTCCAAAATGAATTTTAAAACAGAATGCATTTCTGGAGAGCAGTCTAGATCAGGGGTCATCGGCAACCTTTTGGAGCCACGAGCTAAAATAAGACAGCTCGCTCTGAAGGCAGGCTGCCACTCCCTTCGCCAGCACTGCACTCTAGACCTGGATGCCACTCTCCCTGTTTTGCATGTCAAATGGTAATCCAAGCCATTGGCTGGCAACCCGCAGTCTAGATGAACAAAGTAATCTTGGAGAGAATGGGGAAGAAAAGAGGAGGGCCCAAATTTCTGTATTTGGCACTGGAAGTAGTCAGGACAGACCAGGATGCTAAAAGTACCTCATCTTGCATATTTTAATCTTAGATATGAAGCAAAAAGTGGCTGGTACCTAGAAGAATTAAAATACTAACCCTACTTTTGTGTCCCCCACCCCCTTACCAAGGATTAGAATTGCTAAGGTTTAAAACAACAGCAGCCTACCCGAGTACATTAGTCTATTTACAACTAGTAAATGAATGCAGGAGATAAAAGCTCCTAACTGAAAATACAATATAGGATGAGTTAGATAGTGTTTAAAAAGTTACGCTGCCATCTAGAGAAAACTCCAACCAATCCTTTAAGTACTTCTAACAAAGCACATACACATCACAAAGCTGTTTGTTTCATACAAGCCTTGTTTTGCTAAAACAGAGCAGATTTCTAGCAAGAACAGAGAGACTTGAAGTAAAGTGCTAACAGGGATACCAACAAGTGCTTACCTTTCTTCTATTCTGTTCTTGTCCATAAGTGGCTGCTTGATCCACTGACTGACCAGTCGTTGTCCTTGAGGAGTTCTGCATTTATTTAACAACCCAACCAAAGACTGTGTACTGTTGGCATTTTCAGAGGAACCCTGGAAAGAGAGAGTAATAGCAAGGTGTTGAAAATCCTGTTACGCTGTAAGCAGAGCTGATTCTTGTTATTCTGTTTAGCTCAATTTGACATCAAGCCGGATGAATCAGGATAACATTAAGGCAAGTACACTTCTGATAAGGAAGTCAGGATGGGTCAAGGAGGGCACTAGGTTGATTTCTTCCAGTATTCATTTTCCTGAAGAACTGCCACTGTGCTACAATCAGCTATGAGCATATCTACACAGTAAGCTTACTGTTCCAGGTAGTGGGGCAATATAGCACACAACACTGCTCTAGGGAGGGCTTCTTCAAACTGGATGTAGAGTAACTGCTTCAAGCAGGCTAACTGATGGCTAGAAAATGGTATATAGAGTTTTGTTGTGGGGAATTGGCTTGTAGGTAAATGTATATGTATTAGAACAATGGTTCAGTACAGCAGCAAGGGTTAATTGATTTCTAAAGGCTGGGTTGTCTCTCTCACAGTGTTCACAGCCTTCGAGTCAGACAGGGTGTCTAACCCAGGCAAGCACAAGGCCAACAACAGACACATAGCCTGGGAAACTGTGGGCATGTACCACACTGTTCCATAACATGAGATAAGGCGGCACCAGCTCACAAGGCCCCAGAGCGGGAGGCCTGAGAGTTCCAGTTTTGGGGGAACAGATCAAATTAGGAAAAAGCCAGGAAAGACCAAATTAAGATGTGTGCATGTGATGGGCTTGTGTAACAAAGGAATATGCTGATGGAACAGAACGTGGACAATATGACGACCACAGAAAGACCTATCAGCGATAGCCACAGATGAAGAGTCATCAGGAGAGGAAAAGAATACAAAAGCAAAGACTTTAGAGCAATGAAGTGTCCCTGTCCCCGAAAGGGGAACCTGAGGCACAGGAACAGAGGGCATACCATCAGCCCATCTTATCCACCCCACTGGGGAAGGGGTGGGTCTCGCCATCTGATCTCCAGGCTTTTGACATCTGACATTCAAGAGAGAACCTCGGAGTGAAGCTTGTGCCCTGGCCAGCTGTAACTTGACTCTGATGACAGCCCTAGGATTGGTAGCTATAGAATTGCTTGTATTACTCTTTTCTGCCATCACTGTGTATCAATTTATCAAGTAGACATAGCTTATCTACCTAGTCACCTTGGTAGTCTGTCATTTGTAGGGACATGACACAGAGCAGGCCTGTGAAACTGGCAGCTCACCAGTAGCCCTTAGAGCTCCTGCCAGGCCACCACCCTCCTCATTGCTCCTGCTGTGGTGACAGCTGGGGTCTCCAGGCTCCCCTTTGCTCCTCCGGCACACGCAATACAGGAAGGAGCCAAGCTGCCAGGGCAATGCACCTGGCCGGAAGACAGGTGGTGTTGCATAGGGGAGGGGAGGGGGGGAGGGGGAAGGAGGAGGGGGCCCAGGCCAGGGTGCCCATGGGGTGCAGCTCCAGCCACCAGCCAGAGGTGGAACAGCCCTGACATAGGGGGTCTGCATATAACACAGCAACTTGGTAGAGCATCTGAATGTCCCAAGGCTTACATATTATTTTTCTGCTGAATTTTACAAGCTTATCTTGATGGTACCATAAGTGCTACATGTTCTGCTCTAACTGCAGTATTGATCTAATTGAATGCTGATTCAATTAACCACAGTCATCATGTCACATACACCCAAAAGTTTTATATTTTAGCACATTGTATAAGATTCAGCAAGCAAGAAATGTTAAGACTTAGTTTAAACACAAAAAGGCTTCTACAGCACTGCCCTGATACAGTTTAAAAAGGAAAATGCAGGAAATCAATAATACAAAACCTTTCAGCCAAGAAAATCTACAATTAAGCAGCAGACACCCATTAAAAGATGCAAATTCAATAACAAAAAACATACACCATGGATAAGGAATTATTATACAATAAGGAGAAGTAGAATTCAGGTAGACTGCTGGATTAAATGACTGGAAAATCTTGACAAAACGTACAATATGCAGCATTCAACAGCCCAGTGCTTTGCATGTCTATGAAATACCAGGCTCTGAGAAACCTAAGATGCAATGCTATTTCAGATTAGTCACACCAGCTGCATAAAGCCTTTTGTGTAACAGTTTACCCTTCAAATGTTACAGCAGACACTGGCACTTTGTATACAAAATGTTTACTCTATCATATTTAATTAAAGATCTTAAAAAGTACTTAGTCAACTGACATATGGTTGAAGAGATACCTAGTTTTCATACCTCCTTCCTGTGCAATGTTGATTCTGCCACTTACCAACTGCTCATTCCTGTTTAGTAGCTCAGGCAGCATGTACTAAAACTGGAACCACATCCATCACCTACACCACCCCAGAAACTACCTACTTCACGGAGTGACTGACTCAATTGCAGAGTAAAATAGGCAGGAGGGAAAGGCCTGGGTTGGGCCACACACAAGCAAGAGTATAATTTGCTACCATGTGATAGATCCTTTGTTCCTAGGCTGGCAAGAGCACCAAAGGACAAAGTAGGGAGAGCCTTATGACACCGCTGCAAATGTATGTTATTGCACCAACCAAAAAAAACAGGCTTGGAAAGAGTTATTTCCAGTTCACTTCACCTACTTAACCCAAACCTGGCAACTCCTGTCAATCCTAGCTAAAGTTGCTATATTGCAGCAAGTGTAGCAGTAAATCATGACAAAGATTTGCACAGGGCACAGCTACACATGCATTAACACACTTTTATTAACATGCATTCAATTTGGTACCTCCAATATGAGGTACTAAATAAATGCCCATTAGGCTGCGCTAATGAGCAGTAGTGCAAGCTTTTTAGGTGACAATGGACAGTAGCCTATTCTACTGTGTATTAGCATATTAGCAGGGTTTTTTTATGTGCTGCTTTAATGCGCAGTGCCCACAGAGATCCCAATAGAGGCTCAGAATTCCTCCCTGACATAAGAAAGCTGAGAAAAGCAGAGCTGTCCAGGCCTCCATTCTGCTGTTTTATTGCTTTACCCTTAGCTTCAGGACAAGTGCATCATTTACAAGATTCCAGGTTTGTCAGTTCAAAATATTATTTTAAACATAATTTTTTATGACATTTTTCATATAGAAGAGCCCCAAGTGTCATCTCCCAATGGCTTTTGAATCAAGTCTGTTCTGTTTGCAGGCAAAGAACCAGTTTCTCCGAGTTATCCAAACTCAACGGGGAAACTCAACAAGGTGCATTCCTTCTGGCTCATACAATATTCTAATTGCAATTAGTGTTAACTAAGCTCTGATACTGCAAGCCAACAGAATCCATCTTGCTCTCCAAGAAGTGACTTAGCTCTGAAATGCTAACAAGGTTAAGTAGTAGGACAATCGATATTCTTTCAGCCAAGAATAGGGTGCTGGTTTACTAAGCTACCTTTCAGTATTCAGAACTACATTTGGAATCTTACTCACTTATGTCATACTCACTTCAACTAGAGTGAGGAAGAATCCTCCAGATCATTAGTTCCTAGTTAAAATCTAAATGCTATAAGAGTTTGTAGATCATGTAAATGCTCCCCACTCTGGAATACAGTGGAAGGGAATAGTACAGCAGGTAGCATTTCAGAGAATTCCTGCAAAGCTGGAAGAGTCAAGGCAAGGAGGGTCACCCTCTCATGACACTGGCACAGAACCAGAAGAGGAGAACAGGATAGTCACGTTTTTCTTGGTTGACAAGCCTGGGTACCAAACACAAACTGATTAATCCCTAGAATCTTACATGTACAGGGAGCTATTTGAAGGCTGGAAGGAATGGGTGCTCTATTCACTGGGCTTCTTTCACAGGGCCTGAAACACCTGTGTATAGAATTCCTTATACTGAGCCACCAAACAGGAACCAGTAACAGGAAAATAGAAAGGAAGAAATTAATAAACACTTGGTTTAAACCAATGTACACTTTCCTTTACATACCACTGAATAAACACGGAGGGGCAGGAAAAAGACACAGAGCAAGCTTAAGTGCAGTCTAACACACTTAGCTTTTTAGATATTTATTTAAAAAAAGAAGGCAAACTTGACCACAGTTACTTATATACATTAATCAGTTCTGTAGGAAAAATTTATGAGGAATCTGCAACTTGTCACTGCCTGCTGCGTCAGGCAGTCTATCACTGCCTGGTCACGAAGAGTATCATACTATATTCCTTCCAATACAAGATGGGCTTGGATTTAAGAGGGACCCATATTTAAGACTCACTTTGGGGAGGGGGAAGGGAAGTAGCAGTAGTCAAAAGCCATTTAGAAGGCCAAATCCCCTCTGGTGAATAAAAACTTTTTATTTTTTTAAACCCCTAATATTAAAAATGCAGGCCATTTTTTGCAGAAATACTTTGTTTAAACAAGTTCATCTTATATTCAAAGGAATGAGGTACATCACAAGCATCTTTTTCCTCTGCATACTCACACGTAATATAGGATACCTACCGCAAATAAATGCAGCCACTGCAGCTAGGGACTCCTCTGGTGCTGTCCGTTAAACAGAGTACATATGGGGAGGAGGGAGGGGTAAGATAAAGATTCCTTTTCCACATTGTGCTAGCTTCTGCTACTGGACCCCCCTGGGGTCCTGCATACTGGGGACATCCAAAGAACCCCTGTATCTGTAGCCTTCTTGCTAGACTAATAAACTCCTGAGAGTTACTTTTGAGGGGTTTTTCCCTATTTCATTCCTACAAAAATCACACAGTAAAAATGAAACAGAAGGTACATCACGCACAGGATTTCTGGGATGGGTTTATACGGCCAGGGTGCCTATCCAGTAGCGAGCACATATATGAGAAAAGAACTGGAAGCAAGCAGAGCACATGTTTTTACCTGAAAAAGGTTAAGGGCTCGGACAGCTGCATTATCCAGTATCATATATTGGCTGAGGTCGAAAGTAGTCAGCTCAAATTGTCCAAAGTTGGATTCATCTGACAACAGCTCCAAATACTTGATAACAGCCGACAGGGATGAAATGGCAACCTAAAAAAATTAAAGCAAATTGAAACTGAGGCACTACCTCTTGAGTCAAGCACTGAGCAAAATCATTTGAAAAATTAAAAATACCCAAGATCAGCTTCTAAGAGTTGTGTTGCCTTAAAAAGCCAGTAGCATAAATGAAGAGGAGCAACCAGGGCCACAGCTGTGGATGCTGCAAAAACAGCCACCATCACAGCAGTGGCTGACCCCGACAATCAATGTTGTGCTCAGCAGCCAGTGCTGCCCCATGCATAGCAGCTGTTCTACTACACCACTGTTGGAGTCAGCTTCTTTGTTAAGATTTTATCTTTGCATAGAAATTCAGAATGTCTTAGCAATTGCTTCACGTGATGTACAGCACTGAACCTGTACCAAGGAGCCCTGTTTGGGAAAGTAAAACTTAGGAAAGGAACCAACGTTTTTCTGAAGTACCTGACTTCTTGTTCTACTGTCAAGTACAGTAGATTAAATTGGGATTTTTTGCAGAACTGAAAATCAGCTAATCTAGAGAAGAACAGGCCTTATTTTTATTTTTAAGTCTTAGAGGCTCCTTAAAAAGTTATTTCTGGAAACTTAAGAAGTCACAACATACCAAATATTTAAGCATGGATGGGGCACTTATGTACTAAAACAAAAGGGTGGTTTAATTTCATTTCATTTTTGGAGGGGGGCTTTTTGGTTTGTCTCCAGTTAGAACAAGTTCCAGTTGATCTCCACCTAAACACAAGAAATAAAAGAGTAAAGAAGTTCCCTGACGGACTTCCCTGCACCTGGCTCTTTCTCCCCCTTTCAAGAGCCAGTTCAAGCTTCAGCCATCCTCTAGGCTAGGGACAGGTATTACACAAACTGGTTTAAGTGATCAGAAACTGGTTTAAAACTGTAACAGAACAGACATTCAGCGCACATAAAACAGTTTGAAAATAGCTGAAACGGGTTTGAGATAAACCTGGCTGAATGTAGTATCAGACTTAACTGATTTGGGTCAAACCAATTTATGCAATGTCTGTCCCAAATCCCTTGTTGGTTTAAGATAAACCAGACATCCCCAGCATCCCGGCATGCTCTCTGGGCTGGGTGGGGCTCTCTGCTCCACAGCAGGGCTGACCCCTCCCCTCTGCTCCCTGGCTGTGCTCCAGCACAGACTGCAGGCTGCTGCTCTCCCTCACCACTCCCTGCTAAGCAGGAATTCCCCCCCCTCCTCTACCTTGCTGAGAGGTGACTGTGTATTAGCTAGCAGCCCACATGCTGCCTAGGGTCCCTGCTGAATCAACAGGCAGAATCAACAGGTAATATCCCTCTGTTTTCTCAATGAGGCGATAAACACTGAGTTACAGGATGAAAAACTCTGTTATCATTTCCCTGCTGAGCTAATCAAATCGTCCTGCTGGGGTCTGACCATGCCCCCCCACCAGCTAAGTGCTGTAGAAGGGACAGGAGGGCTGCTCTAGCACCCCCCGCCAGCTTCTAGCCTGAGCCACTGCAGGCATGTGCCTGCATGTCTGGGATGTCTGTGCTGTTACAAACCAGTTCAGCCTAGCCAGGTTAGACTAACCTAGAAAGACTGAATCAATTCAGGCTCAGGCTTCTTGAATGTCTGTCCCTAGCCTTAAAGTTCTTGAATTGCAGGCAGCCCCTTGACCCTTGCTGCCAAGTGGTAAGGGTGACAGGGCTGCCTGCAAGCCTCCAGCAATGGGGGGGGCACAGACTCCTTGTCAGTCCCTGTCAGTCATCCCCTGCTTGTGCAGAGCCTCACTATGACTCCACTGGGCAAAATTTCAACTCTTAATTCGAACTCATATGAAGATTCTAGCTCCTGCAACTAGAAACCTTTCCCTGTAGCCTGCCAGTTTCTTTGAAATGATCAAGGGACAATCTATCAAGGCAGCCAATGCCAACTCCATTGTGGGCTCCAAATGTTATGACAGACTTTCAGCTAGATTTCATGCAACAGGGAATCAGGGCAGGATGCATTAAAGAACTGATCCAAGATCTTTAGTAAAGTTTCAGCCAAAAGCAAACAGTACTACAACTAGTGCCCTGAGCACTGGAAATCTTTTAACACCTGGCATAGTCTGACTTTTAAAACAAGTGTGTATATCAAGAGCTGCAGCTCTTATATCTTACCTGCTTTTCCATCTCTGGCAATGCTGCACTAGTCACCTGTTCTTCCTTCTTTGATTTCAGTAAGCGATTAAGGTCTTGAACAATATCTTTTGTTGTGAATTCAGCCTTTTTTCTATCAGTAATCAGGATTCCTCCTCTCTGAATGATCTGCCATGCATTGAAAAGTTGTAAAGGTTAGTTGCTCCCAATTCTCAGAGGATGAAAGTACATTACTCAATGCACTGTCAAAATCAATTTGAAATGTGCAGCTCAAATTGTTAGCTCATAGGAAAAACAAAAATGCAAAACAAACAGCTCCTTGATTTTATAGTGGCTTTTCTTGATAATGTGACACAACATACACACCAACAAAAAATTCCTCAAGTTACTAATTTTGCACTTGCCTTAGTTATTGATGACATTGAGTTTGTGATGACATTCACAAATCTGACAAAGCTTTTCCTTTTCCCATAAGCCAGGTGGTCCACATATTCACACCACTTACCTGTCGCACTTTTCCCATGTCTCCGACTGTCTCTCCTCCTGGAAACACACATTCCTTGGGACCAATCTGAACTAGCAAAGCTTCCAGGTTTGAGAACTGGTCGTTATCCGGAAACTCGCAGACACCCAGCTTTCTCAGTGTTGTGTCAACATACCCAACTCCAATTATTCTTTGCCCCTCAGCAGCGGACAACTTCACACCCACAACTCCAATGGCAGTTGACATGTCATTATTACCAAACAGAATTTCCTCAAACTGGGCAAGGTTACCCGGGGAGCCCTGTTTGAGAAAGAAAAAACTTAGGAAAGAAAACACAATTTCTTCTGAAGTATTTACAGAACACCTGACTTCTTGTTCTACTTTCAAGTACAGCAGATTAAATTGGGCTCCTTTACAGGACTGAAAAAAACCCATAGATCTAGAGACATCTCAGTCTTAGAGTAAAACAGAAATAAAAGCAAGAAATATGGTTGTGAGTTTGTATCTAATACTGTGCATGTCCACTCAGTTGGTTTCCCAAGCTACAAACTAACATACCACTTAAGATGCATAAACTTGCTTGCCCCCCGTTTCTCTCACAGGAGCATTAGCACTTATATATGATGTCTAGTCTTCAGGGTCAGCATTAACTCTTTTATTGAACATTGTAGCTGAGGTAGCGTGGCGATTTATTAGCATGAACATATGTCCTGTTTTAGCTGGGACAGTCCCAGATTTCAGACGCTGGTCGCAGCTGTCTGTTGAGAATTGTAATAGGTGTCCTGGAATGCAGGGGTGCGGGGCATAGTCTGACTAGGAGTTGAAGTGATGTAGAGCACCTTGCAGGCATGCAGCCCCACCCCTGTCAACTTGTGAGTGTGTTGTGGGGAGATGGGTCCTGGATTTTCCGTATGGTCAGCCTACAATTTATGCTATGCAAAGTAAAGAATGTAAGTGTGCATGGACAAACTTGCTAAATATTCAACAAATAAGTAGATTATATACTGCCTGTACATAAACTGGACAGCAGTTTTACTTTTCAAGCCATTTGCACTTGTGGAAATCTATTACTATTTCTAAAGTCAGTTGCCATAGAGCTGCCCCACAGCATGCTATAACAAAGCAAGAGGTGCTGGAACGTAAGTCAAGATACATACCACCCACATTAATGCTACCAATTTAAGGCCTGAAAGACTGTAAAAAAGTCTGAAACAGTGAACAGAAATATAGCAAATACCCTTATTTTCCCTACTTTGTGTTTATAAATGGAGATAGAAAAGCATACCTTGTATGCCAAATACCAGTCATTCTCTTTGGTAGATTTGCTGCCAGCCCTATTCTTATAAACTTCAACTCTGTAGTGACAAACCAAAAGAAGATCTCTGACAAACGATTCAAAGTTCATTTTACTAAGTACAACACTCTCAAGTTTCTGATTCCCTACAAAAGAAAGAGAAAGAACAAGGAAAAATTTGTAAGCTAAACCATAATTAATATTTTTAACTACATTCTAAATGAATGCACTAAAAAAGAAATTTAACATACACTAAAGGTCATTATTTTGGTAAGCAGTGAAGTAAGCATATAAAATCCCAGAAAGCAAAAACCAAAACAAAACAAAACACCCACAGAACTCCATTGGTAAGCATTAAAAACAGTAAACACTAAACAAAACACAAGAACTTACCCAGATAAAAATAAAGTTAATTTTAAAAGTCTCACTAAAAGTGAAGACAAGCAACAAACGCTACAAAGTAATTTACTGCTGATCTTACGCCAGGAGGACACATGTTCAGCCCTCCCAAGCCAAGTTCCTGAAGCAGGTACAGGCAACCCGCAATTAGCGCTCAATTGGTTCCTGAAAAACCAAGCGTTAAGTGAAATGAGCGTTAAGCAAAACCGAAAGTATTTGACAACCCAAGATGGCGACTGCAATCGTTTTGAATGACCCAAGATGGCAACCACAAGCGTTATACCGAAACTTGCTGAGCACTAAGTGAAATCAGGTATCAATTTCAAATAAGTGTTATAGCATAATAGCGCTAAGCAAAACACCGTGAAGCGGGGGTTGCCTGTACAATTATAGCATGAAAGCTGGCCTGTACAGAGCAGTTACCCTACAATGAATTTCATTTGGGAAGCAAAGCAATATAATTCACTTTTTGAGTAAATTTACCCCACAGTGGACTGACTTAAGGCTATGCACCCTGCACCCATTCCACTTCCTCAGAAGAATCAGTTACTTTGTAGTAAACATACTATGCATCTATATCCTCACTATAAGCAAGATCAATCTACTTTCCCCCCTGACCCTTGACATAGACTTGATCCTCCAATTTTCTAGTTTGTTTTTTCAAACTCCGCAATAGATTTTCTGAAGAATAATGGAAAAAACCCACAGTCTCTCTCTCTGGGCAGGCTTACCAAGGAGAATCCATCTTAATCTGTGAATTTTTATTTAAAAAAAAAAAAAGGTTGCCCTTTTCATTCAAGACATGGTTGCAATTGTGACTTGTATTCAGTTATAAAAAGGAAGAGTTGTAGGGCACACTAACTTGAGAAAAACCTGTGTAACACCACAAAAGCCTGTTCACCGAAGGAAGTAATGCCATTCCCTTTGCATGATGAGACATTTCCCCATCATCTACAAGGACACACACAGTCATAATCTAAAAGAAGTTTATATTAAAACCAATTTTCATGTACAGCTGAAAACATTCCTAATGTTGCCTCTATACAGTTAAGGAATTGAGGCTTGCCCCCTCCATTTTATTTAATAAAGATGTTAAAACAGCAAGTCTGGTCTTTTTAAAATTACCCTACAAATCTCTCACACAAATTGTAGTCTGATCTGGATTGCTGTTTACTTATTTTCTTCACTCAAAATGCTACCAGTAGAAATACAAGTGAGTTACATGACAGGCAAAGTAGTAGATGAATGCCACACCAGCAATTTCTTCCTCTGCCAATGCAGAATTACCTGATGCAGCACAAGTACTAGTAATTCACTGCCTGAAATATGAGATCAGGAGGACATGCTACCTGGGATACATGATGAATACATAGTTTGTTCTTTATGTTGTTCTTTTTTGTTTATTTTGGGCTTATGTTTTTATACCTGACCTCCTTTTAAATGTTCCAAATAGCATATTTTATGGCAGACAGCGCACTCATGTATATAGTACACATCTTGATTTTGAAGGGAAGGGGAGTCTGAAGGAAAAAAAAATCTTCGTTCAGGGTAACTGAGTGGCTGCAGCAACTAGGGACCCAAGCCTGCTGCCAGCCCTGCACACCAATTGGGCTCACGGACCCATCCAGCATGCCAGGTCCAGGGCTGCATACCGAATCTGACCCCATATGCTGGCCTCAGAGCTATGTGCTGGGGCAGACCGAGCGCACCAAGTCTGGGACTGCACACTGGGTCTGGAGCTGTGCAATCACTCTGAAGCCAAGTGCTGGATCTGAACCCGTGCACTGCTGCCAGGGGCCGTGGGCCAAGCCTAAAACCAGGAGCAGAGTATGGGTCAGGCCCAGCATAGGGCTCTAGAGCCAGCTGGTCCCCTGACTCAGCATAGGCAGGCAGCAGTGCATGGAGTAAGACCTGGTGCATGGCTCCAGAGCCAGCACGCAGTCCCAGGATCACCACAGTCCCAGGCTTGGCATGTAGCCCCAGAAGCAGCATACAGGGTCAGACCCAGCACACAGCTCTGGAGCCAGACCACATAGCTCCAGATGTGGCATGTGGTCCTAGACTTTGTGTATTGGGACCAACCCAGCAAAGGGCTCCAGAGCCAGCACGTGGACCCAGACTTAGTAAACCAGGTCCAGGACCATGTGCCAGGTTGAACCCTTCACGCCAAGTATGGCCACATACCAACCCTGCTCACCAACCCAATCCAGTGTACATTAGGGGAGGGAAACTCCCCCCAGGCCTGGAAATTTCAGGGAAGGGGGAGGGAGCAGTGGCAGCATTAACTGCCACAGCTCCCAGAGCACCTGTGGAGATCCCCTTTCCTCACATGTAATAAGTACCCCCAATTTTCCCCAGCTGGTTACAGGGCGAGAGGAAGAAGATGTGGGTTATATGCGAGAGAATAAGTTTAAAAAAATTATTTTATTATTATTATCTTAAAACTAAAACTGGTAACTAGTGACTCAAACCTCAGGCGTCGTCATTAAAATCCAGGTATCAGGAAGAATATAAATGCACATGTTTATGCTTTGTAAAAGTCTTCATCCTTCAAGAGAAAACTTGATGAAAGTAAACATGAAAAGAAAACCCACCATTTAGCCATGTACAATCATGCAAAGTTTTCCTCTTGATATAAATGCATAGAAAAATATTCATTGCAATGAAGGATCACTGAGATTAACTTCAGGGAACATAATCTCTCTCTCTATTTCAGGCAAAACTTAATAGGTTTGCCTCTCACAATGAAGTTTTCTTATTATGCTTCTTGGCTCTGAAGTCTAAAATCATTTCCCTCCCACGCAGAGAAATAAACAGGGAGATTCCCTGTTTGGAAAAAAAAATCCTTTATGCAATATATAACTCATATATCCTGCAGCAGTACATACCATTGCTGTGGCAGACAGCCTAATAAGATTTACAAACAGGAATTTACAGTTAGAGATGCTAAACAGCTACCTGGAATTACACAAAACATAGGAATGGGAGCACCCTGTAAGTCCAGTGGTCTGTTATCACAGGCAACCACATCACATAATAATTTTCATAAACTGATGAAAATTCATCTTTGCTCCAAAGCATGTTGCTTAATTATTCTCAGAAGTATTGTCAGAAGTACACTAACAGTATAGTTTTGCAGTGTAAAACTGTCTGGCTGCACAATAAATTAATACCAAGGGCTGAATTGCTCTTCAGATGATGTGACTAGGTTAGACAGGGGCTTGGTTCCAAATTCTAGTTTGGGTACCTAAATTTATACTCCTCAATTATCGAATGTGATCTCTCAGCCTGGATGCCAAGCTGCCGAGAGGGAAACAGAGCTACAACCAGTTATGTAAAACTCTATAGCTGAGCAGTTCTCAATCTTTTTACATTTGAGGCACCCCTCAAAAGACTGGGAAAATGCCAGCTATTAGTGTTCACTTGGTTTCCAAGTGCAGAACACTAACAGAGTAGCTCTTGTATTGCCAAGAGCTCAAGAAGACCACGACAGGCCAGAATGCATTTGACACTATGGATTCCTATTTCAAATCTCCAAGATTATCTTGGGACTCAGATTCACAATGCAATGGTAACACGGCATGGCACCCCACTGCACCACGCTTGAGAGAGTCTCAAGACAACCCATGGTGTCAGGACACCCTGGCTGAGAAACACTGTTGCAGCTGAAGAACAGCTTTGGCCTCAGCTCCAGAACCGCTAGGCCTGGCTTCAGATGAAGTAAACTTAAGAGGTCACAAAGACTTGTTTTCCTTCTCTGTGTGTAGGGGTGTGCACATGTGGTGTGTGCATAGGGGTGTTCACATGCGGGTGTAGTTCACAAAAACTTTAGTGGGGGGGGAGTGTAGTTCAGGAAAGTGTGCACGCGTGTGTGTGCGTGTGCGCGCTTCATAAAAGCTCACTTTCTTTTTGGGTGTGTATGTGGGGGGAATGCGCAGTTCACTAAAGACTGCTTTCTTTCTGTGCAGGTGTGGGAAGCACAGCTCACAAAAACTTGTTTTTTGTGGTTGGGTGGGTGCAGTTCACAAAAGCTTGCTTTTTTTTCCTATGGGCAAGGGGGGTGTAGCTCTGTGTGGGTGTGTGGGGGAGGTGTCTCTGTCTGTGTATGTATGTATATGTATGCGCGCGCACACAGTGGGATGCAGCCAGTGCACACAGATGCTTTCAGGCCGCGGCGCCTCCCGCCCTCCCCCGGCCCCACCATCACCCCCGAATCCAGCAGAGTGCCGCCTTTC